CACACACACACACACACACACCACATAATCCAAGAGAGCGTCTATATAGGTTTCTCTCTTCTAGAAATGCCCTTCTGGGTATGGGGAATTAATTGTATTCCCTCAATTGAGAATTTGCTCTCAGATCCCCAAAAGAGAGCTTCATTTAGTTCTGTGGAGTTGTGAGGCCACGAAATCCCACCAGGGCTGTCAACTGAGCTGGACTGTTGAACAGCCAAATAAAGGGGACGCCCAGGGAGACAGGAAGGGCTCCACAGTCAGATAGAAGCAAGGACTGGCGGGAGCACATGGATGGGAGGCATGGAAGGCAATCTTGCTTTTTTCAGGGCTTTCTGATCTGAGTTTTCACAGAAAACTCTCCCCAACCAGGCATCTCAGTGCTTCCCCTCTGTTTCTAGAACCATTTAATTGGTTTCTGTTTCTTAGAACTCCAAAACACTGTATTAAAACATTTTTTATTTAGTATACCTCCCCATGGGAGGCCTTACCTTCTTGTAGGAAGGAATGGGGGGTTGATTGAGAGGGGGAGGCTGGAGGGGTGGGAGGAGGGAAGAGGGGGATCTTTGATTGGTATGTAAAATGAATACAAAATTTTTTTAATAAAAAAATGAAACCAAAAAAAAATTCATCTCCTTGATCGCGACTTTTTTTGTGGTCAAGAACTGAGTCTTCTTTGTGTCACCAGAGTGTCACTGAGTACATGGAAGGTGTTCACTGCAGGAGTTTTGAACGCGTGATGAGCAAATGAATGCTGATCCCGAGTCTGTGTGTGGAGCTCTGGCTAACTGTGGCTTCCTAGCCAAGGTCCTGCCCTGCTGTGCTCTGCTGGTACAGATGCTCCCTCGCCTTCACCAACATGATTCCTATTACCTATGTCTTCCAGCTTCTTTAAGTCTGGGCCGTGACAGGTAGCATTTCCCTGAACTTTTTTTTTTTCCTATGTTTAGCACATTAACACTTGAGTATGATGGGAGATGACATCTTCAATTCAATTACATCTGCTTCAGCAGATTCCTAAGATGGCCCCTGGACCATTCATTGAAGAAACATGGGGAGAAGCAGGCTGTGTGTATAGAGACATATAAGTAGACCTTTTGCTTTTATTTATTTATTTTTTTTAAACCAACCCAGCATTTCCACCAGCAACTGTCAACATAGCTTAGGACACGAACATAGTTTTCCTTTTTATTTTTTTCTTAAAAAATGTGTTTAAAATTAAACAGGTGTTGTTTTAATTTCATTTTTCTCTCTTAGAAAATGTATTTATGTCAATGCAGAAAGCCTCAAGACCCGTGGGCAGTTTTGTAGTGTGTGTGTGTGTGTGTGTGTGTGTGTGTGTGTGTGTGTGTAAGCCAGTTCTTCTCAAATACATCAGGAAAAGGTCTGGGAGGCCAGGGTGTCAGTGTGTCAGTCCTCATTTTCTATGAGCCCAGGCTCCTTGGGAATGTGATGACTTGGATTCCTAGGGAGGGAGGGGGTATAAGAAATACCCTACAGGCTGGGGAGAGGACTCTCTGAGGTTTAAAAAACAAGCAGGAACATGGGGAAATGAGAGATTCCAGTTCCTATCTTGTGAACATGCTTCGAAAGTGGCCTGAAGGCCAGGGGAGGAGGAAGGAGACCCCAGTTCTCTTACAAGCCTCTAAATTCTCACATCACCCCAGGCAATCTGCTGAGCCTTCTGAGTATGGCACATTAGTGAGGGAGGGGTGGTAATGCTGGCATTCCCCAGAAACACTGACACTCTACATATGATCTGCTCCTTTACAGACCTCCCCAGTCAGATACCTTCTTCTCCCCCGTCTCACACACAAACCCCAAAAACATTGGAGAGGGGTTTCCCTTTCGTTTCTCCAGCTGCCCTTGGTCAGCATGGAGCACTCTTATGTCTATCCCCAAGCCTCAACCTGGCAAGTCTCTCTGTGGGAGAGCACACACAGAGATGCTGGCACACCACACAGAGCAGTAGCGTGACCTCCACAGAGAAGAGTGTGATTGCTCTGTAGTTCGGGTGTGGTCTCAGCGCAAAGCAGACGAAACTCCTCCTGCACCCTGAGTTGGAGCCAAGGGACGGCTGTGGCTTTGTGAGAGCAGGAGGGGGTGTGTCAGCAAGCCCATGCCTCTGTCTGTCACTCAGAGCTCAGACCTGGCATTCCTTCGGGGGCCCTTTGTCACTAACTTCAGAAGGAAAAGACAAGACAGGAAGGTGAAAGTGATCACAATAACAACTCAAAGAAAAGAGCACCCCGAATCAGCCATGCGGAGACAGCTCCTTCTCACACCCTGACAGATGAATGAGGGAGTCTTGATGCATGTCGCTGGAGACAGGGGGAAGCCCTGTTCCTCAGGGAACTAGAGTCAAGGGAATAGTCGGGTGGTGGGATACACAAGAGAAGGCCCGGGGACATGAGTGGAGGATGGGGGGGGGGTAAGAGGTGGATTTGTTGCTGTTGTTGGTTTGTTTTTAATTAAATACTTTGGACAGGGGGTGTCTCCTCCATTCCATTGGATTTTGCCCTTACTGTGCAAGTGCCAGGGCCTAGGTCAGGAGCCCTCATAGGGCTGGGGGTCCTGATGCTGCTTCTCCAGGGCTGCTCAACCTGGAAAGGTTGGTGAGGAAGCGCCCTTCTCTCAGGAGAAGTCCTGGGCCTGCCCTGTGGAGGTCTTGCTCTGGCCGTTCAGAACCCCTTGATGTAGCAATAAGCCTCCAGTGTGGCAAAGAGTATGTAGAGGAGCCACAGGCTCACGAAGAGCCACGTCGTGGCAAGCTTGCAGCCACGGGGACCTCCGAGCTCCCCGCCCAGGTGGGGCCGCCGACGGTACAAGAGCACACTGAGGCAGACAAATGCAAAGATGGTGAAAAGAGTGACCGAGAAGGCTAGAGTGCCAGCGGACACATGGAACTCCTGTCCCTGCATGGCCCAGTAGATGGCGGCCACGGACCAGGCCAAGCCAATCCCCAGGAAGACGTTGACAGCGTTACTGCCGGTGACGTTGCCAATGGAGGCATCTGCATACACATCCTGCAGGGCAGCCGCTTTGCTGGCAAATGTATCTGGAAAAGGACAGAGACAAATGGGACAGAGCTGTGGGAGGCTGGGATGTGCAGGGCTTGTCTTTGAGTAGCCCTCATCGGCAGCTTGACAGCATGGGCAAAGGGGTCACTTATGAGTTGAATAGCCTTGGGCATATCTACTTATGGGTCTGGGTCTCCTGTTCCTCATCTGTATGTAGCTGAAGCATCCCAAGAGTTATTCCTGTCCCAATATTTACCAAGCGGACATATCATTCCCTGTTGACTGTGTTTTTAGCCAAGAAGACTCAGTCATTTCATAACATCTGCTCAGGGAACTTTCGCATCCAGGGAAGCAGCTTAAATAGAGGATTGGTCGTAACTGTCATGTGGGATATTTGCTCACTTAACCCTGAAAGTGACTGAGCAATGCTCATGCACTCAGGAGAATCAGGATCAAGATGCCTACACAAGGTCACTTAAGTTAGCTAGAGACTTAACCCTAGAATCCACATGGAGAGGGCCCTGTCCATAACAAGCTCTCATTCCCAAAGAGCTTTAAGAAAAGCCATGATACCAGAGGCATGGACCAAAGCATATCCTCTTGAAAGCCCCAACATTGTCAGGTGCTTTCTGGACCAATTTCCAGGCCTTGGAAATGCCCCAAACTATCTCCCTACCCACTGATATTTCACTGTTGTCAATTTTCTTGGATCTCCCAGAGAAAGCTTCTTGCCCCAGCTTGCCTATGACCTTGTGATTTGGCCTTGTCCTCCATTGTTTTTTCCCACATGTTTTGCCCCACACATCTGCTCCTTTCCCTCTGTTAGTTTAGGTACATCAAGGCCTGGAGAATAGTGACCACAGGGCAAAGCTCCCGGCATCATCTGATTTCTTACCAACAGATTCATTTCCATAATAGCCAGACTTCTGGCATCACTAATGCATCTCTCCCCCCACCCTGGTCTGTGCTGGGCTTTTAGAAGGAAGAATTCCTGGAGTGTGGTGTAGATATAGTGTGATGATTCATTCTGAGTTCCAACTTGGTTAGACGGAGACTCACCCAGCGGAATTGGTAGGGCACACCTCTGGGTGCATCTGTGATGAAGTTTCCAGAGACTATTAGATCTCAAGGAATGGAGGAATTCATTGATGAAGTCACAATACGACAGTGTTATTAGGAGGTCGTGAAAGGTAGGAGGGACCTAGTTGTGGGAAGTGGCTGACTGGGAGACATTTCTTGGAGCTTATAGCTTGCCGTGGGCCTTTTCCTACTTTCTCATTCTCTGGTTCTTGTCAACCATGATGTGAATTGCTTTCCTCCATCATGTTACCTTCCCTGCCAAGTTGTATTAACACCCCTGAAACTGTGAGCAAAATGAATCCTTCCTTCTTTAAGCTTTTTTCTTGGGACTTCTCTTATGGCCATGCTGAAGAAATTAATAGGTGTAATTGATCTCCCGAAAAATGTTTCTTTGCTACAACCAAGGTTGTTCTTGGTTCACCCTGCAGACTCCTGCCTGGTGAGATTCAGCCCAAGTACTTGAAGCTGGCAAAAGTTCAGAGTTCAGATGACATAGAGACCCAGATTGAATTAAGTAGGGAGGCTGGACTAATATAGCCACGCTGTACCTGCTACCCAATGCTTGTCATTCAGTCCTGGTTCCCATAAGACCTGCTCTGACCCAGCTTAACCAAGGCTCCCTGTTTGACACCTTTACTTCATAGATATCATTAAGATTTTTTTTTAAAAAAATCATTTGAGTCTAGTTTCCTTTGCTAGATTTTTAGCTGAGGGCTGAGAAGGAAACATGTTTGCCTTGACTTGCATAATAGATGTGCAGCTACCACAGCACTGTATCAGACATCACGGGAACTCAGTAAATATTAGTCTACTAAATGAATTAATGAATGCCTACTGCTGTTTGCCTTTGGATATTTAGAAGAAAATAAAGAGCCTGTAATTCCTCACACAAAAGGACAAATCTCGACTAAGGTTCTTATGCCTGTTCTGACAGGAGACATTTTGCCCTCATAGATGACCACAGGAGCAGGGGAGGCCAAGAAGGATTGTGGGCATTTCTATAGGGACATTTATAAGCAGACTAATATTTAATCTCTCAGAGGCTGCCAGAGGCAAATGGAAGAACATCATTATATGCATTTAATTGCATTGCTTGTCTCCTATTGATACAATATAAAGGCTAAGAAATTGGGCCACTTACTTGGTCAGTACCATATCCTTGGTAGAACTCAGTTTTTCTGTCTAGTAAGGTTTTGGTGAGCAGGGCAGGGATTGAACATGTGAACTGGTTATCACCCACAGTGCCTGTTGCTTCAGATCTGAGATGAGGCAGAGTGTGGGGGTCATTTGAACCAGGGGATATCCTCTTTGCAAACTTAAGTACCTCTCACTCTCACCTGGCACAGAGGTGCCGAATGCCACAAATACAACAGCTGTGACTGAATCTTTGAGCCCAATTGTGCAGCCGAAGTGAGAGGCTAGGTCCCCGATGATGGCGGTGAGCATGCCGATGATGAGGATGGAGACCACAAAGCAGGCCCAGCCGTGGCAGTACTCCGTGGGGGGCACACAGGCAAAAAGCACCTTCCAGAAGACTGTCAGGAAGTGCATAACATAGTCAAAGCAGGAAGGCAGCCTCTCCTCTCCCGATTCATCCTCATCCTCATCCCCTGCTGGAGGTAAGATAAACAGGCTTGAGACAGAGAAGTGAGATCAGATCTTCATTCATGAAAAAGTCAAATCCAACCCACATTGCAGGCATCCTGGGCCAGGATGGGGATTCAGCTCTCTCTGGACAACAAGTGAGGAACAGGGTGTGGGCACCAGTTAAACACTGGGGAAATGGGAAACAAATTGGCCATGTGGTCACTGGTCAGTTTAAATGCAGAGTGCTAAGTGAACATGGGAGAAATTGAGCAAGCTGTGGACTAAAGAAAAAGAAGAGAGGATGAGGTCAAGAGGCAGAGTAGGAGAACAGGAGGACAAAGGGGAGGGAGGAAGGAGGCAGGGCAGGTTGTATTTGATTTTCTAGGGAAAGAAAACAAAATTGGCTGTGTGTTTGATCACTCTTCGCCGTGTACTGATGGGGTTCCTCTCAAGTTTTCTAACCTGTCTACAGCAATGACAACCATAAATCTGCCATTCTATCCCTGGCATTCTATCCCCGGAGAGATGGCTGTGGTTCTAGATCATGGAGGCAGTACCCTTCCTCAGCTATCCCACAGAACAGAGCATGGATGGTCTCTGACAGTCTTTGCTAGGAAATATGGGGGTACATGTGCCCCTTCAGTGGCCCCAGAGAGAATGTGCTGAGAGGTACTTGTGCCCCTTCAAGGGTAACTTTAAATGCTTTGGCTTTGGAAAGAACAGAAGCCAGAAATCTGGGCTCTAATTCCAATTTTAAATGAAGGAAATCTTAGCCTGGGGTACTTTACCTATGGTTTTTGAACTTCAGTTCCCTCCTTTGAGAAGAGAGGTAGACTATGTGGCCTACATTGCTTTTGTTGTCTCTTGAGGGGCACAGTCAGGCCATCAGGAGGGACACAGCAGGATGGATGTGAAGGCAGGAGAGCAGCAGTAGCCAGCCTCTCTTCCTGGCTGAGCTTTTGCTCTGGCTCTGGGACCTTAGGGATGTGACCCTGTGGGTTGCTATGACAACAAAAGCTCATGGAAAAAGACAAGGCCAGTAGTGCCTGTCAGTTCAAGAGAACTATAGTGTCGCTGAGAGACAAGACAGGGGCGGTTGGGAGACCCTGTCTATCCTCATTCCAACACACCCTCAGGTATCCAGGACTTCTGCCTAGGCTGGGGACAGTATGGTGGGGTCATCCTGTAACTGTCAAAGAAATCATCCAGGGCGGAGATTTGTCAGTGGGTCAATGCAAAGCATTTTGCTAACTCTTAACATCCAGTCTCTAAACCAGAATTGTTTCCCATTTTACAGGAAAGGAGATGCAAACTAGTGAGAAGATAAGGCATGATAGAAACTAGAATTTCATGCGTGTGTATTTTGTACTTGCACTTCTGAGAAAGGCAGAAAACATTGGAGATAGAGAGGACATGTGCACTAGTTCACATAGCAGAATCAGGATTTGAAGCCAGATGTCATGGCTCTCTTTTAGTTAACTGTTGGAATAGGTAAACATCTCAGACCAGAGCTGGGAAGACCCCACTGAAGAGCTGTTCTTGAAAGTGATTAGCCACTAAGGGGGGCATGATCTTCTTTCTTGGGGGTTGTCTGTACTCTTAGGAAGACCATCTTGAGGGCCCTCTTACCTGCACTGACAGTGATGGCTTCCATGAACTGGTCCCTCCAGGAATGGGTCCCCACAACCAACGCCAGGTTTGTCTTCTTGATTAGCTTATCCACTGTACTCTGTCATGGAGAGAAAAACTTGGAATCATGAGGTTAGAATTCTCAAAACCAATGAGGCCTCTCCTGAACTGCAGGAATTCTAAAAATGTTTCATGAGTTGTCCTTGGATGATATCTTCTTGGGCGATCCCCCTAGTTCCCTTTCCTTTGGTTGTGAATTCTGACACTGGCTGTCCAGAGGAATGTAACTGTAGAGGGTTTTTTTTTTGTGGTCTTTTTGAGACAGGGTCTCTTTATTATGTAGCTCTGGTTGTCATGGAGTTCTCTATATAGACCAGGCTGGCCTTGAACTCACAGAGATATACCAGCTTCAGCCTCACACGTGCCTGGGCTTAAAGGCTTGGCCCACTCCACCTGGCTTGAAATGTAAGATGTCAGTAGATCTTGTCCTGCAGTTTTAGTGTCTTTAAAACATATAGTTGTGGTGACACACCAAGGTTCCCTCCCCTACTTACTTCATATTTTATATAGTGTTTTCCTATTGTATCCCTAGCATACAAATAACCAGCTCTACCTGTTACATGGTATAAAAGGGGAAACTGAGACCTGGGGTGGATGAGTGATTTGTTCAGTTTCTAGTTCACATCCTCAGTGGTGAAATTAGAAACAGCCTCATATTTTTCAGTTCCCCACCTTAGTTAGCTATTATTTCATTACACCTCACTGATGGTCTGACCTTGAACTCATAGGACTCTTCAATGATGACCTCTAGTTTGGGGTGTTCACCCAATACTGGCTTTCCCATCTCTGCTATTCTCTTGGCCTCCTCTTCCTCCACAGTCAGCTTCCTGTCTGTCACCTCTGCAACAAAAGAAAAATCAGATTGGCTTTAGCGCCCTTTCCACCTTCCAGGACGTCATAGCTCAGGGACATGGGCGGTGGGTGCAAAGCGAAGACCTCTCGAGAACAGGGACTGGGTATTCCTAATTTCCCTTTCTGCTGAGGGCTGAACACTCTGCGATCAGACCTGGAACATGCTTGTAGTAGGCCCGAGATGAGCATTTCTCCTTTTGTTTTATTCCCAAGTAGGGAGTCTGACCCAAAGAATTCCCAGTGAATGGTACCAAATGAAGCTCCCAAGCCATTTGGAGAGTGTCTGCAGAGCTGGGAAGAAAAGGCAAGTATCATGGTCTTTAACTATTTTGAGATGCTGGAACCGGTTGTCCACTGCTTCATGTAAGAGTTCTGGAAGATGCATGGGTCCAAATGCACTGCCTACTGCCCCCATTAGCATCTTTTTTTTTCAACATTGTTGGCACTGCCCCATCTATGAAAGAGAAAGGGAGATATTTGCAGAGATATCTCCATTTTGCACAGGCGAATGGCATCTTCACTAGGAGAAACTTGGACAATTTCCAAGAAACTTCATGATGTTCTGATGACAGACCTCCCAGGATTTCTATACAGGGCAGGATCATTTCTTCTAGAATTAAAAAAAAACATTCAAAGCAAAAATAAATCAAAGTTCTCCCTTTATTTTCTTTGTAAGCGTTCTCTGAGTCTTTTGCTTGCATCTTGCATCTTTTACCAATGGTCCCTTCTCATGCTGAACAGTTAAACAGTTTTTTCCACTTCAGCTGGTAAGTCCATCCTCCAGCCACTTCACCATGAAGACATGTTTTCTGGATTAGAGTGAAATAGAGATTGAATCTTTTTATTCCCCTTTGATTAGAAAATCGCTCTTGGCAGCCTGTTTCTTTCAGAGCTCATTTACACATCTCCCCATCCAAGTCGGCACTCTCACATGCAATTAGTTCTTTTATTCAGCTCCTTAATTGCTTCCATTGCAAACACAGTCAATCTCCCATGGGAATCCTCTCGTCCTTGGATAATCCCAAGGACAAAATGGGTCAGAGGCCAAGGAAGTCTTTTTTTTTATTTCTGTAGCGGAGGAATTAGTGAAGCGAGAGGCAGAAAACTTGGGTTCTTGGGGTTTTGATGAAAGCAACTCCTAGAAAAGGCTACGGTGTAAGGACGGGTTTTATTAAGTAGAGAGACTTATGTATATAAACGTTTCCTTAGTTAACCTGGATGAGGACAGGTGATGGGGGGCAGGCTCCAGTGTCTGAGCTTGCTGTTGGACTCAGAGTTTCTACAACCAACGAATGAGCAGGGGCTCCCCACAATGCCTGGGAGCTGTCCCTGGTGCTGCACCATCGTAGCTCTGCTGGTTTGTGAAGATCTAGGTCTTTTTTGGCCGTTACATTTGTGCTCTGACATTTTCTCTCACAGGTAACGCACTCTGATTGCTCTGGACCCCTTCCCTCCTTCTCTATCATCCCTGTCAAGCCTCTCCCAACCTTACAAGTCCCCTTTCCATCGTCACACATTTAAGTTTTATTTTGAGACCCAGTGAGTTTAACCTGGGCCATCTGCATAAGGGTGGGTTTGGAACTCTCTAGCAGGCTTGTGGGCTCACCAGTGGTTACTCAGTTGATGTCAGTGGCTCCCTACTTCCAAGAATCTATCATGGTCACTGGGGTTGAAGGTTGGGAGGGTCCTCTCGAGTGCTTTTCCCTTCTGTGGTTGGCTGTTGACAGGTCCATTCTTGTGCAGGCTCCGTGTAGGTGAGTGCAGTTGCATTGAGTTCATGATTAAACTGGCTGCACTGTGTCAAGGAGATGACATTCGGTAGCCCCTCTTCACGTCCTCCGGCTCTTGCTTTCTTCCTGCTCCTCTTCCACAATGTCCTCTGAGACTTAGAGGGGTGCTATACATGCCTTGTTTGTGGCTGAGCACTCAATTATTTCCCGTTCATATATATATATATATATATATATATATATATATATATATATATATAATTATTCCCTGTTCATATATATATTATTCCCTGTTCATATATATATCCAAGCTGGATGGTATCTTCTAGCAGCCTCACTTCATTTTATATGGGTCTCTGATGAATTTATTCTGAAGGCAACTCTGGGAGTCTGAATGTGCTGGGGGTATTTACAAGGACAACGGCTCTGGAAACTGAACTGCAAGGCAGTCTGGGGGAAAAGCTCTTAGAAAAGACAGACTCCTTAAAGAACGAGGAGCTTTTTCCTCTTCACTCTGGCTTTGGCATCATATAACATGGCTTGTCTCAGCAGTGACAGTGTTATTCTGCTCCTCCCTCCCCAGTTCCCTCATGTCACACTCTACATGTGCCACAAGAACTTTATACCAATATAATAAGCTCTCCAGTGACACATAAGTGTACCTGTCTCACCCCTTGTCTAGCTATCAATCTAGCACTATATCCATCTGGCATATTATTGATCCACCTACTGACCTGTCCACCCCTGTGGTGACAGTCACTTTTTCTATCTAGCCTTTTGCAAAATTCCCTTTGACAAATAACCAACCCCCTATTGCCAACTCACCTGCAGTCCCACAGAAGCACTCTGTATATTTCTGTTCACTGACCCACATACCTTTCTATAAACCCTGACTTAGTGTCTTGGCACCTATCCTACCCATTGTCTAATTTTTATATAATGGTCATAACTTTAAGTTCAAGTTAAGTTAATTTCTTCAAGCCCCAAACTTAAAAGACAAATGATAATGATTCTGATTGCTCCTCAGAATTTCAAGTGAAAAGAATAAAGGAGAGGTGATCTTGACAGGCAGGCTGACTAAACAAACTCTCATTTCTAGGACTAGAAAGGGAGAGAGGTGGGGAAGGAGGTTGAATATAAATAAGATGGAAGATTGGACAAATATTGGAAGAATGAGGAGCTTCCCAGGCTACAAAGATAGACTGTGAATGCTCTGCAGACGTCCCCACAAAGAAGCAGTGGTGTGTCCAGGGCTCTCACTCTAAGGCCCTTGAACTTGGTGGAATAGCCTGGGATGAACACATCTACTCTCACCGCCAGGCACTGTTCATGACGTTGTCCTGTCCTCTCAGGAAGATCAAAATCAAAACTTGAGATTTCTGGTAGATTTAAAACCTAACCCAGGTTTCCTAAATCAGAGGTTTACAGATAGGTATGGGACATTCCCTCTGTATTTTATATTTCTACTGGTGTTTGAAATCTTGTTAAAAGTATAATGAAACTTAAACCACATATGTGTGTTAGGTAGTGAAGGCAAGAACTGGAACAGAGAAGCCTGAACATATTCGTGTGGGGTAGTACGAGCAGAGGAGAAAAGAAAGACCAACACCCCAGGAGGAGAATGCAGAGCATAGGGCTGGAGCTGGCCCTTTTCCTGCTGGCATAAAAACAAATGAGAAGATGAAGAAAGAGGCTGTAGTGATGTTTGCACAAAAGTAAAACATATGAACTCTGTGCACTTTTTGCTTAAGGCTCAAAAGAGGCAAATGATCTTACTCCACCACCTACTGCCTCTTCTTAAGCCCAAGAGGTGGCCTGTAGGTGACTTGGAACACCAGTGCACTCTGTAAGATCTTTTGTCTCTTAAATGGCCTTATTTTGTGTGGGTGTGTGTTTAAAGAACAGACGAAATGGAAGATGTCCTTTTAAAACACATTGAAACTGTCTGTGGAGCCCACTCCATCTGCAATCGAGTACGGTGCTGTCAGATGTGGAGGGCTGCTTTCCTTTCCCATCCTGGGGTTGGATGCTATTTGTGAAGGGCTTCCACTCATGCCGGCACGCTTCCACTCATGCCGGCACACTTCCAAAGTGGGTCCACGTCCTACATAGGATCTAAATTCTGAAAGAGAATCTCGCCAATGTAAAATCTATAAATGTCTTTCTTATCTAGAGCCCTGATTCCACACATAGTTTCACTGTTTGGAGCATATGTAACTTTAAAGATAAATGACAAATGAGTCCAAATCTAGCAATTAAGATCTCATCTGTGATGAGTTAGAAATTCTCCAGCATCAGTAAAAGTCTGTAATTTTTTTTTTTAAACCAACTGCCTTTCCTGTTCTCAGCAGCTCTTGGTTATTTCTCCCTGGGTCCCTGGGGTCAGCCTTTCCTTTTGAGTTCAATGTCAATCCTATCAGAGATTCTGGTCCTAACTCTGACCACCTCCTCTCCCACAACATAAAAGGCAGATGAGCCGAGATGCAGGGAAGTCTATGACCTACTGTCTTCTCGGTAAGTTTTATTTTAACGACTAACTATGCATTTTCCCATGTTCACCGATGAAAAAACGATGCTTGAGGAATTATCTACTTCCGCACAATTACTTTATGTGAGGAGTCTCTCAGTCATTGGGAGACTGTCAGGTTATCTTGACCCTGTAGTTCCTGTGAAGTGACATAATGGACATTGATCTTAAACCAAGTAATGGCACTGGTGAGAATAGAAAAGAGGGAAAAGACAGACGCCTCTTACCTGGAGATAACAGGAGCGCTGTTTGCAAATGAATAACAGGGAAGAGGGAGAAAGAAAAGGAAAGAACATTAAGGTCCCATCTTGAAAGTGTCCCCAGGCTTTGTGGTTCCTGGCAGCACAAGGAAGCAGTGGGCTTAGTAAGTGAGAGGTCAAGAACACATGCAAACAGCAGCATTTGAGCATGCGCAGCAAGAGCAGCAGCAAGAAGTGTGAGAAGCTGAAACGCCTGCTGAGCAGCTGCAAGGAAGTTGCCCCCACACCTTCCCTGAAAACCTGGGTGCTGAAGATGGAGGCGTGAGGATGAGGGGGCCAAGTGGGTGAAAGAGACACTTCGGTGATCACTGGGATTCTGTCTAGTGATCATGAACATGTGTGTGGTTTGCAACCCTGCCAGAGTAGCTGGCCTGTTGAGGGCAAGAAGAGTGTAGGGCTTGAAGGTGAGCTCCAGAGAGCAGTATGCAAGAGTGGGATGGTATTCCCGTCTATCATTCCCAGGCCTAGCCTTGCAATCAGATCATGCTCTGCCTCCCAGTGCCCATAAGGTTTTCACAGTCACAAATGATATCTCAGCTACCGTTATGGTCAGTGCTTTGATTTTCCCTAAAAGAATGCTAGAAGGAAAAGATGCATCCTCTAGACTGTGGTCCCTGAATGATTTATAGCTATATATCTTGGAGGTCAGAGTCATGGACTCCTATTTCGTATACCCTGTCTAGTCTTGTCCCTGCACTTAGTAATGTTCAATAAAGGCTTGTTGTTTACTATTTTGGCAATTGATAGTCTTTTTGTTCAGAAAGGGTAGGTGAACTCTGGATTTCAGGTACTCTGGAACAGAGGGACTCTGTCAGATCAAAACTTGTATGAGAATGGGAGATGATAAAAGCAAGGTCTCTGCATGGACTGCGGGACAGAGTCTATGAGACAAAGAACATATACAACACAGGACGCCTCTAACTTCTTTTTTCCTCATGCTAAACTTTCTCGTCTCAAAGGTAATGTGACAGATTCTCCCAATGAATGAGAGACTCATCACATAGAATAAGAGTTTAGTCGATGCTAAACTTTCCTGGGCTTTAAAATGCACAAATTAAAAAGGAATCCCTGTGAATTTCACATCACATTTTCATCCTGATTGTGTGTGTAATTGTATACCTCTCGCTCCTTGACTCTTATTGGAACTGGAAACATTTTGCTACCTATTCCTTGTAGAGACTGACAAGGAAAGAGAGTATGTGGGTTCATACTGAGATATCTGCAAATTGTTTTTTTTTCAGTGCCTCAGGAAATGCAGCTCATGCCTGAGACCCATCACTCTACATTCACAGCCACTGAAGATATGGTGGACTCAGAACCGACATGGTGTGTAAGTAGCTGAGCAACAGTTGATTATTTCTAGCTGTTTCCATTTACACCATGAAGGTAATTAGTTGGCTGGTGGATATTCTCATTACATTGACATGGGCAGCAAGGTAGGTAGTTTATTTTGTTCCTTCCATGGGTCTGCAGGAAGAACACTTCAGGCACTAGAATTCAGATGGAGGCTGAAGATCCCAAAACATCAGTGACCCAGCCAAGCAAGTCATACATTCTCTGCTTCTTTTCTTCATGAATCTGAGGTTTCTTACTAAGGAGTACCGGATGCATCTGTGAGATCCACGGAGGTCAATGTTGAGTGACTTGTTACTACCAGGGTGTTTTCCTTGCTTTCCTGGTTATTGAACCTCAGAATCAGGTGAGAGTTATTTATCCCTGCTCAGATACCCCTGAGAGAATTAGGAAAGAAGATACTGAAGGGAACTTTTGGGTTGAGAGCACTTGACAAAGTGTGTCCCTGGATGTAGAAAGAAGAGAAAGAAACAGGCCCCACGGGAGACTTCCTATGGTCAAGCACTGACCCAATAGCCCTGATGAAGCAGCTCATCCTTGCTCACAGAAGTCCACTTTCACACTCTGCGGCTTACTCCACACCAGAGCAATTATGTTTCCTCTCATGCTCTTCTCCCCTCTACCACAGATCATGCAGAACTTTTAATATCACCTCTGAAGGCTGTTGTATTTGCTCAGAATAGAGTCTCCTATTTCAAGTCCAGTCATCTTTTTTTAAAATTCTATTGTCATTTTGACCATGCAAGAGATGATGCCCGTCTGAATGCCTAAGTCTCTCCTAGACAGTGGTGATAATGAAAAGCAATTTCCACTGTGCTGACTCTCACTCTGAAAACAGTAGGGCACCCTGCAAATCAGAATGGATTTTCATTTGACTCTGGATCTAGACAATTGGGTTTTATAACCTTTCACCCCATGATCTGATGCCAATATCAGGGAAGAACTGAAGAAACTAAAAATTAATTCCCCAGAGTCTAGGGCCGAGACCATAGGGCAGGAGGCTGGGAAACCCACATATTTCTTACTGACAACTTCCATCTTGGCACCTTGGTCTTTGGGAAAATCTGGGGGCATATCACACAAATAGTTTTCTGAAATCCTTGTCTCCTTACCTTCCCCAGGCCTAGGCTTCACAAGTTTTTTTTTTTCTGGAATCTTCTTGGTTAAATAATTTAGTGCCAAAGGCAACCTTGAAAGGGGGGCAGCCACAAGTGTTTGCATTCAGCCAGGTCTATAACTTAGGACACTTTTTGTGCTCCTGTTCAGTAGGGGACTCAAAGGGAGGCAGAAAATAGTTGGTTTTAATGGTGAAATAAAGATGTGGGTGGGTTTCTAATCTCTTCCTCCTGCCTGGAGCCTCTGCCTTCCTTTCAGATGCCCTGTTCCATCCAGGGAGCTGCTTTCCTTTTCCCCTTGGTGAAACGGTTTTACACAGGTCTTGAGTATCTTTTGTGTCCAGCCAGTTGTAAAGGTGTGCGGTCAGTGCACAAAGGGGATGTTATGGGAATGAGGTAGGGCAGGTGCTGAGACAGTTTCTGAGGATATTCTGGAAAGTGGGAGCTGGAAGAGAGGCTGGGATAGTGTAGGAGGCAATGGAATGAAATTCTCTTTCTTCTGGCACTCTCTGGTGGTCAGGGTGGTGGGAATACCTTACTCAGTAGGCAATGGAAGATTGAGCTTGCTTTGCCCCTTGAATGCTAGATGTGTCCAAACCAGTGCTGGCACAGAACTGGTGAGTTCTGCAGACAGTTCCGGTAGATGATGATAATTGACCATCACATTTGAGGAGAAGACCTGTAGGAGTGCTTTGATAGTGCCGCTGTTGACCTTGCTCTCTTCGATCTGTCAGTTGAATGTGAAACCACCGAAGAAAATGGTCACCCCTCCTAGATGAACAGATGTTTTCACATTCCCATACTTATTCCTCCAACATTTTCAAAGTGGTGGCGTCTGATCATTTTCATTAAGTAAAGAAAGCATCCCTTCTGTTTTCCTTGGTTGCAACAATGCCAGTGTCAGTCTCTTAAAGATGAGCCATTGGCTGGGATGTTGAGCTTTATATCCTGAGAAAATGAGGAGAGAGTCTACTTCTCTAGTCAGAGATGAGAAGTTCCTTGGGGTCTGAGCATTGTCTTCACTTGCAGATGCTAAGCAAAGGCAGGTATCCATGAGCTGTCCACTGACTATCTTTAGTGTCTCAGTGATCCAAACCACTACTCCATTTAGAATTCCTTTCTTTGATAATCACAAATAAATATTCTGGACTTACCCAAAATCCATTCTTTTCTAGGGCCTTCAGGGAACAGTTGAACCTACAATGACTTACTTTCCCTTACAAATTTTCCATTTTCCATTTTCATTATTCCAAAGTAGCCCACATAAGGCACCTTACTTTAGTCTATGAAGAAAGGTAGGATGGAGTGATGAGATGTCAAAGGGAGAAAGGAGAGCTTGGGATTCCATGTTGCAGGGCTACTTCAGAAAGCCAGCTCTCTCCCAGAGAGCGCTCGGAGACCATGGCCAACTGGTATACCTCCCCATGCCATGGTCTACCCAACTGAGAATAGCCAGATAATGCACTTACCTCCGGGAAGAGCAGAGAGGCCTGTGGGCCACTCTGCAAGTGAACAGCCTGCCAAGCATTCAATAGAGGTTGAGGAGTGCAGCAGAAAATGGTCAAAGCATTATGGCAGCACGGGTCCCACCCTTCCTCCAGGACCCCCCACCATTGCCAATCCCAGCTCGATCGAGAGGTGGTAAGGAAGGGGCACAAGCATGCAATACATCACATTCCTTTCTTTTTCTTCTCCTCCCCACCCACCAAGGAGTTTTCACATTGACAAGCTATCGTATGGGGGCAGAGAATAGGGAGAGTGCAGGGGACAGCAACAATTGGATAACTGGGGAATTAGAGCACAACACAGAAATAACTCATCAGGGCAACGAGGAGTTGAGGCTGCAGTATTGCCCAGAAGGTGGGGAAGGAGGAATATGGAAATAAACTATGGCTAAGAAGGCAGAGATGACACCGAAACAGGGTGGGAGTGAGAATACAGGAGGGAAAAGAATAAAAATTTCTGTCAATAGGAGAAGGAGGAGAAGGGGACAAAAGGTGGGGGGCAAAAATAGAGTCATTTTTTTCTTTTGTATTGTTTCCTTGTTTGTTTAAATTTCTCTCTTTTTTCTTTGCCTTTGCTTGGTTGTTGTTTTGACTTTAAAGAATCTCACACCTGATATTCCACGTTCCATCCATTTCGGTTCACCAAGGGCAATGAAGAAATTCTCTTGCCTTTCGTATTCCTCCTCATCTACTATTTTAACCCTTATGGTTTTCCTGTAGGGACAACAAGAGAGAGAGTGTCGACTAGGTGGGCAGTTTTGTGGTTCACCTGGAACACAGCCTTTAATAACCATCCCCATCACTCTTGGCACATGCAGCCCCGTCCTGCCTTGGTGGCCTTAGACAGGACTATGGTGGATTGTGCTGTCTTATTAAAAAATGCTCTTAGCCTTTCTTGTCTCCTTGGTCACAGTTGTTCTTATAGGTGAGAGAGAAAGGGAACCAGGAGGACAAGGACCAGTGGGCAAAGGCAGCCAAGAAGAAGGAAGGGAGGAAGGGAGGAAGATTGGGATCATGGTGGGGAGGAGTCACTTTAGATCCTGTCAGTAGATCCTGGTTAGTAGGAAGTAAGTCAGGCAGGCAGCACATTCCGTTGGTGTCACATGGTAACAGTAGCATTCCTTTTGGCTTCAAGTAAATGACCTGCCTAATGGAAATGACCCAGAATCCTTCCACAATGAACAAGGCATCTGCCATCCCTTCTTTTGCCTCATTAGGAAAAATTTAAAAGTATTTATGAAGATGGAGACTAGAGAGAGGGGGAGAAAATGGGGGTAGGGAGAAAGGGAGGAAGTGTTCTATTAACTTTCTCATTCTTTATCCTTTAGGGGTGTTCAGTATGATGCAGGAAACCCACACTATTGACATCCCTGTCATAGAGGAATGCTGTGCCCCAAGACTGACCTTCTAGATGCTGATTGCCCTGAATTCAGAACACAAGGTTGTAGTGATTGTTGTCTGTTTCTGGGTATCAACACAGTGGAGTGTCAGTTATAAATAAAAGTAAGTTTTTTTTTAAAGATACTCCATTCCAAGTATTCACTTGAGCCTCATTCGGTCATGTGGTCACGGACCTCATTCAGTCACATGGTCATGTGGTTGCAGCAGGGACCTGGATTTTCACGTTTGGCTTCTCCTGGAACTTCATAGAACAACAGTGGTGGGTAGCAGATCTGGTTAGAGAGCTAGCTGGAACTATCATTCTTCTGAGGATTATTTGTGGTGGGGAAGACACTGGGACCCAATTCCCAGTGATTCTGGGAAAAGAGAATAAATGACAGTTTAAATGTCCTCAGATCCTCTGATGTTCCTTTGACATTCTGAAGATATGCTTCAATTTGATACCAATAAAGCACAAGCAGTGTGTGTGTGTGTGTGTGTGTGTGTGTGTGTGTGTGTGTGTGTGTGTATGTGTGTTTTACTTAAGATTTTTTTCCTACCTTGTTGTGTGGACAAAATCATTGAGCATTTGTAGGTCTTCTGTCTATAAGATGGGAGCCTGCTTTGCTACCACAGGGACTCTTGCAGGAGACTGAAATGAGCCTGGCTTAGAGAGCCTTGAAGATGGCTTGGTCAGGGAATACTGACCCCCTAATCCAGCAGCTCCAGAACAACACAACTTATCCTAGGAAGGATAGTCTGGCTTCCTCTTGGAGGCCAGAGCTGTACAAGGTCATTGGGATGGATAGCACAGCTCTGTCCACCCTGAATCGTCTCATGGGCTTGGAGGGAAAGCTTCCCCTTAGGCCAGACTTCTCTCCTAATATTCCCTCTGCCCCCACATCTAGCTCCCCTTAATAGGAAGAGTAGGATATGGTAGGAAGGTCTTTGATGGAAACCTGGACTTCAAGCTCAGTCAAGGTCAGGGAGTGAAATAAGCTTTGATGGCAGAGACGTGGCAGATAAGATGGCCCCAAAGGGCTCTCTGGGGGAGTGGGACAAAGTGTGGTCCAAATATATTGGTTCTCAACCTCCAGGGACATAAACTCAGCCTTGAGAATAATTTTACTTGTGGAAATCTGTGCTGAGAGTCTGTTTGTCATAATTCCTCCTGTCTGTGAACCTATCTGTCCTTCTTGCCCCCATACCACATCACAGAGAGCCTCATTTATCATATTTACAGAGTGCTCTCTCTCTCTCCCTCCTTCTCTCTCTCTCTCCCTCTCTCTTTTACTCACCCATGTTCATTTTGCTACCCCAGAAAAATTGCTGTTTGTCTTTGAAGGCCTCTCTGTGGATACCATGTGACAGGTTGGCAGGTGTTAGGACAGAGAGAGTAGAAGATGTGAAAAGGGCAAGAGAGGAAGGAAATAGGAAGGTAGGAGGCAAGAGGAAGAGAAGGAAATGGATTGGAGAGAGGAAGAAAGGAAGGAAAGAAGACTGTTACTGTTAGTGTGGAGGACAGGGTACTACACCTTTCTGAACACTCATATCCACCATGCGGGGGCCCATCATCTCAATGAAGTAATTCTTGTTTTTCTCATACGTCTCATCATCAATTACCTTGATGTGAATTGTTTTGCTGTAGATGGAAAAATAAAGTATCATAAGCAAAGGGGCAGAATTGGGGCAAGGCAGCTGGAGAAGAAACAGGAAGAGAAGGAGAGAGAAAGAGACCCAGAAAGGTTCAAGTTGGCCCTAGTTCCTCAAGGGCATGGAAGAAGGTGGCTCTCCTGGCCCTTCTCCAGCCTCAGTGAGTTCTCTTGGGCTTCATGTGGCTGTATGTTATAACCATACTAGAAGACTGGAGAAAGCTCGGGCTTTATAGCCAAAGGCTCCAAGTTCCAATGCCAGAAATGCTATGTGATCTTGGACAAATAATTTAACCAATATACAGACAAGACAAATAAAGTTTACATAATATCATGTATTTTGCACTACCCCCTTTATCCATTAGGAATATATTTCAGGACCCCAGTGAATATATGAAACCATGGATCGTACTGAACCTCATAGTGCTACCTGGAAATATCTATGATGCAGTTTAGCTTATAAATTAGGCATAATATGAGATTAACAACTAATGATAAAATAGAAGAATTATAACATTACCAGTTGGGTGTGGTAAACATTTGTAACCCAAACACTCAGAGGCTGAGGAAGGAGGATCACAGTGAGTTTGGAGCCAGCATGGACCATATAGAAAGTTTGAGGCAATCTGGACTACAAAACCAATTCCCCATCTCAAAAAACTAAACCAAAACAAAAATACTCACAATACCCTATAATAAAAGCTATTTAAAATTTATGAATGGTTTATTTCTGGAGTTTCCCCTTAAGTATTTTCAGACAGTGGTTTTTCATAGGTAACAGAGACTGCCTGGTTCCCACACTTAAAATTTAAAACCATTAATGCCTATGCATTGTATCTAGTAGTGAGTTTCACCGTGACATTTTCCGAGATACATCTATCATGCTTGCCAGCATCCAGTCCTCACAGCCCTGACTGTCTCATCTTCTCCTCTCTCTCTATTCCCCATAGTCTCTCTGAAGACTGATGAAAGGCTACTGCATACATGAGAAGATTGCACTCATGGGTCTTCCCATAAGGTTTATTCTTCTTTATCTCTTTGCTTTTGGAACAAGGAAGAATTTTTTTTCTTCTGGAACAGCAGATGATGATTGAAAGTGCTTATTTTATAGAAAGAACAGAAAGAGAGGGACAAATAGGCCTGTGGGAATCCTGCCCAGAATAGTAGACGCTCTCTCCCTTTTGTGTGGCGGTGGACATCACAGGGAGAACTGCTTGGTTTGCGTCACACATTTTCTATTTTACAGTGACCAGGAGATGCTGTCTACAGATGAGAGGCTGCAGTGTGGGGAGGGGAGGCTACATAACTCTGGAGCTGAGTTCTACCGTGGTCCTTTGGCCAACACCAACCCCAATATGCCACATAGCTTTGGGTATGAAAAAGTGTTAGTTTGTAGAGTGAATGTGTAGGTAACTCTTCTGTGCTACCTACCCACCCCACTGCTACTCCTCCCTGCAGTTGCTTTAAAAAGAGAGGTAAGCCTATGCTGCCAAGCTGTCACTTATGATGGGATATTTCAGGACCAGACCCAGCCTGCATATATCACCTCCACTGGAGGGTATGGGTCATTGCTGCAATTGTGGCCTAGAACTGCATCTCTCTGCAGCATAGGCATGCAGAGCTCTACAGGACCCTGCAGCTCCCATCAGAAGTCCCCTTCCACACATGCCTCTAGGATTGGCCTTTGCAGAGCAGACAGAGGTCTTCTGCTCCACTCTTCCTTCTTTTTCAATGAAGCACACTATCTTTCTAGTCTTACTTATCATAAACTCTTTATTCTCTGAAGCCTCCCCAAGTCAACCATAAGTTTGCTTTGGTGTCTACGATTCCTGTACTAACCTTACTTACTGGGTCCGTCCCTCCTGAAGTGAGCATAACAGCTGCTGATCCTGCCCTAGACCATGTCACTAATTGCTTATGAAATGACACTCTAAACCTTGATGACCTCTATACCGATTGCAGTCCATGAAACCCCAGGTAGTTACCATGGGAAGCGATGCCCTCACAGCCTGTGAAGACCATAGCACTGTGACTTTCCTTCTTCCAGGGACTGATAGCCTGGCTTGAAATCTCTCTCACCCTCACCATCTGGGTAGCCCTGGGCGACCTGATAAAGTCCTCAAGATGTAACATGTTTCAAGTGTGAAGTCTCAAGTGCAAAATGGCACAGCAGAGTTTGCTCTGTAGTGTCCCTCAAACAATAAGGAAGCACACGGAGGGAAGTATGTTTTCTGCTGAGGGTTTAACAAATAGAAGGCATTAGTATTAAGCATAACAACAATTCCAGTTTGAGAGTCACATACAAGGGGATCTTTTCATCTCTAGTCATTAAGTCAGAAAATAAGGTGGAATCAATAAATAGTACTTACTGCAAATAGAAGTCAGGTCAAGAAAGGGCTGGATAAACCAGGATAATAGATCCCTAAATGGATTATTACAGGGCCTTGGAGTGCTAGGAGGCTACAGAGAGAGGCCCATATTCTCTCAAAATCTGGCCTCTGCCATCATCAGTGACAAGCTTGGGGCTGGATAGAACATGTTACACAACGTGGCTTGTGTTCGTTTTGATTTTTAGTGAACAGATAAACAGGAAAAGAGACTCCATGGACATCGTAGTAGAAGACAAGAGGAAGGAGGACAGGTGTTGAGCAGCAGAAGGAGGAAACAGAGCGAGCTGGCAGGGAAAAAAAAACCAGCTGGAGGGTGGGATGAGTGAAGGAGGCAGGGTGTGGGGTTCCCCCACTGAGCTCATTTGTGGGAAAGACATCACATCTGTTCTCACTGAAGGTGTTACCCTGCCTGGAGGCTGGAGAAATCCCCTCACAGCTCCCCAAAACTGACAACGTTTTTATTTCCGTCCCACACACAAATGAGACCACAGAACATTAACTAGAAGCCACCAGCTGGGCCTCGAGTTCTTGCAAACTTGTTCCCTCAGCTTCAGTCAGTGGCACAATCATCTACCGCTTGGCTCAGGTCCTGAACCTGGATTCACCCCTCTCCCATCTTCGTTCTGTCTTCTGTCTTCTCTCCTCTCCACCCACCTCCTGCTCCAAACTCCCTGACCACCACCCTTCCTTCTGCTACCAAGATCAGGACACCACAGCCTCTCGCTTGGACTGTTGCAGCCTCTGAAGAGACTCTCCTGTCCTGGGCTCTGCTTCTCTCTTCCATCTCTTTCCCACATTGTAGCCAGAGTGACAGATTTAAAAGGCAGGGTAGCCAGACATGGTGGAGCACACTTGTAATCCAAGCACTCCAGAGACAGAAGGAGGATTGCAAGTTTGAGACCAGGCTGGCCTACGTAATTATAGGCTAACCTTGGCTGCCCAGTGAGACTCTGACTCAAACACAAAGTTCAGATGCTGCCATATCCCCAGCAGTTGGAATAAGCATATTCCCGTGTCCTAGAGGAGCATCTCCAGCTGTACTGAACTTCACATCTCACTCATCACAAGGTCCCCTTGCTCTGCTCCCAGGCACTGTTCTTTCAGTTTCTCAGGTCAGGTTATTTCCCACTCAGGGTAGACTTCCTCATGTTCCTTGTCTGGGATGCTCTTTACCTACACCTGGACTTATCCCCATCTGTTGGATTTCCTTGTCCACTTTGCCTCCTTGGAGAAGCCTTCCATAGCCAGCTTAGCCCCTAGAATTCCCCTCCTACCACAGATTGCATTCGGTTCCTTCACACAGTGGTGTGATGTTCACGGCTTGAAGTCAGCCTGTTGGTTACTGTTTCCTGTTGGTCCCTCTTGAGTGGAAACTCTGTGAGAGCAGGGACTGAACCTGTCTTATCTGAGGCTTCAGTCCCTGCCTAGTACACACCCACCACACAAGAGACCCCCAGAAAGACCTTGTAGAGTAATGTCTGGGGTGTCTGGTTGCTGCCACACCTGGAGTCTCATGTCTTTCAGCTATAAAAAAAAAATGTGACAAAGGACAAAAAATTACTTTGAAGATTACTGTGATGGCATGCCCAAGGATTCTGAGGGACACAATATCTGGGAGACCAGTGCCACCCCACTGAGATCTTCAGCTTATTAAACCTCCATTTGTCCACTCTGGGGAAGATGCTGTCCACAACTAACATGGAAGCCATTAATTCAGATGCTTCATTCTGTGATGCCAGTTTTTCCTTCCAGCTCAGTGGCTGCTTCTGAATGGAGGACACAGGCTATCCTCATCAGCTTCTTGGAGGGCCAGCGATGCTATCGGAGGCTACAAGGCCAGCACCTGCCTTTTCTACTAGCCTTCTGCTAAGAGGTGCCAGAATATGTGGCATTCCCAGCTTGGGACCTGGCTGTGTCTCTTGGAGATGAACCTCCTGGGAGCTCTCCCAAAAACCCAAGAGGGATTAGGAAAACATTTCCCAGGCCTGGCTGGCCTCTCACAGCATTGCTTTGCATGGAGGACACCCAATCCGAGCGAGCCTCTGAGCTTCATTTCTTTCTGACTGTTGAGTTCTCTTAGACCAAAGGGGCAGGAGCAGCATTTGTTAGTTGAGTGAGTGAATGATACATCAGAGGGCCACCCCAAGAGGGAATTGGGCCTTCTGGAAAGTGATCTCTGCAAGGGTCATGCCCGGTTACTCTCAAATTCCCAGAACACAATTCTCCATCTCTATAACAATGAATATAACCAAGTGTCAGCTCTGTATTTACAGGCCTGTTGGAGCCCCACATTTGCCCCGAATCAGCCCCAGGGAGTGTTGGGGGGAGACAGGAAGATTCACAGCTCCATTTCCCTCCTTCCACGTCAAGAAGAGAAGTGAGAAAGCAGCAGTGATCTAGGAATAGATGCTTGCTATGCCCTGAAATTGATAAATCCCCTTCTTGGAGAGGCAAGGGGAATAATCTATAAAATAATTTATTTAACAGTGTGTCTGCTCCCGGCACTGTAGACAGAAAATGGCTGGTTATCTGATTCATGGCTTTAGAGATGTTGGGTCTCTTTCTGGCTCTCTTTCTCCGCCTGGGATCTCATTTTCAAG